CGAAGCACGGGAATTCGGGAGCGGGCGTTCGCGAACATCGAAGAGTGGGCGCGGGAGCGCTTAGACTAGCCCGATGAGCAGTGCTTGAAGAGCCGACTTGCGGGAGTGCAAGAGCGGCCAAGGCTTTGGAGGCTCGGTGGACAGAGGCGGCGCCGCGGCCGCCGCGAAGGGCCTTCTGACGTGAACATTCTCCCCCCCTTGCAACTACTCGGGTTGCAACATATTCGTCCTGTATAACTGCCGCGTTCTGCAGGGGGTCCTGGCTAGCGGCGGAAATTGCCTATGCGCACCGGACTGGAGCGGTGGACGGAGGCCGTGGAGTGGCTGAGGAGGGGCGCAGGATCCTAGAGGTGACGTCGACGTCGGAAGCGGATGAAGCTCGGTGGCAACCTCGGAATCGGTTGGATTGGACCTCTGATCAGAGCGTTCGCGTGGTGCGAAGCGGTGGCATCTTCTCGAAGCGGACTAGAAAAAAAGTATCATTTAGAAGAGCGGTCAGTAAATAAGCACGGAGTCATCCGATGCTGCGATCGGGGTGCGGGAACTGGACTTCCCGGCATATGCAGGAGCGTGTGGTGATGCTGATTGCACGTCTTGCATCGGTCACCACTGCGGCACTTGCCTTGGGAATGTTCGTGGGCCAAACAGTTCGAACAGTAGCGGTTGGTGGACACCGCGCGGAGCCTCTTCTCAGCACTAAGCCTGAGGAACTTGTGGCATTTTCGAAGCGGATGGATTCTGCTGCAGACTCAGCACGGGTAGAATAAAATCGGGAACGTCTGCTCTTGATGTCGTAGGGTACCCAGTAATAGAAGGCGTTGGGAGTAGTGATTCGCGTGGAGAACGCGGATATCCTTTGGGTCGGTGCAGTTACTGGGCTGGAAGGTTCAGGAGGAGTCTAAACACCGGAGGAACAGTTTCTGGGAAGCAGCAGGGTGTGTGCAGCTTAGCGCACTCTTGGACTCTTGGGGGATAGCCTGGATGTTGAAAAGGATTTTCAACTGGCTGTTGACCAACAACCGCCGGTTCTCGAAGCGGTCGGTAAGGCTTTGCCAAGCTGCGACGAACCCCTCATTGGTGAGCGGGGCTTTGGAAACAATGGCGTGCGCTTCGCCAGTTGTCTTGGATAGTAGGTGGAACAATTTCTCCACCGGGGTGAGACTAGGGTTGTGGATATATACCGCCGTGAAAAGGTCTCTGAATGTGGGCCACCGAAGACAGTCACCAGCGAAAGTTTCGGTGTCCACCGGTGGCAGGCGACAACCAGCGGACTCTGGGACGGACGAGTTTGGGGAAATCGGCACGGACTGAGAAGATCCCTTTTCCATCAACTGTTGGAGGTCGGCACTATATCTTTCGTAGACCGAGAAACAATGCTCATATCTGGACTGGAGCATTAGCCTGCTGGTGTTACTCTCACCGGATGCCGAAATAAGATCCGAACAAATATCGTAATCCCTTTCGACCTTTTCCCACAGTGCGCGAATCTGATCGCGACGCACTTTACACGTGGAAGGAGAGGGCTGGGCGGTTTCTGGGGCGTCTAGAGGTTGGATCTTTGCCTCGAATTGACTCAGACGGTCTGTCGTGGCAATAAACTTCCTCAGCGCTATGTCGATGGCGGTTTGAGCCATTTTTGTAGTCGAGCAGTGGATTTTAAGTTAATCGGAGAGGGTCGCGGAAATGCGGACTGGGATCTTCCCAAACGGATTGACGGAATCGGCCGTAATTAAAATACAGGAATAATTTTAATTCGAAATTAAAAAGCCTTGTGTATTATAGAATATATAATATATTTCGGACGTGGAGGTTTGCTTATATTTTGCTCAGAAAATTGGGCACGAATTGTGGATGGATCCCGTAATAAATTAAATACGAATTTAGGAACGTATTGGTCGGAAGTAATTAATTGTTGCCAAATATATTGATCACGGATGAAATGGTCGAAATAAACCCTTGGCTTTAGTTCGAGAGAAAAACCTCAGTGGGTCATGCCGTCGGCAAAGCCGTGCGGAACTCAAAAGAACCCAGAGGAAAAAACAACACGACCGTTGCGGCGACTCAGTTGAAAGGATTGAATTTAAAATTAATTAACTTAAATTAATTAATTAAATTCAAATTCTGGATCTATTAATGAATGTTTAACTATGAGCCGTAGATGTTTAATTATTTAAACGCTAGGAAGGTAGAATTTAAAAAACAAACATCCGTTTCTGGTCGCGGAGAAGAGCTCACTGGGATAAGCCGTCGGCAAAGCAGTGATGAGTGAGGGACCCAAAGAACTTAAGGGGTGGCAACAACACAGCCGTTGCGGCGGTTAAATCGAAGACAATTAAAAACACTCGTTTGTGTTTGGGTTTCGATGCTCAGCGAAGAATAGCGCGAAGCTTGTATGTATGGAGGTATGTGTGTAAATTTGTATTTCTTTCACCTAAATGAAAATAGGATAAATAAAATTCGGATAATTTTAAATTCTTGGCTCACGAAATTTCCTTAAAATTGTAGGTGGCGGATTTTATCTCGTCGGCACTGTTCGGCTGTGGAAAGTATGAGTGCAGGTGCTTGTACACGCTCTAGGCACAAAGAGGAGACGAAAAAAAATTACAAATAATTACTTGCCCTTATGCGGGCGTGGGTATATATGTATGTAATAGCTTGGATCGGTCAGCGCAGAATAGCGCGAAGCTTGCCCAATATATACGTATGTATGTAAAAAAAATTGAAATAAATAAAAACAGGATTTATAAACTTCGGATAATGTTAAATCCTTGGATCACGAAAGTTGTGGAAAGTTGTAGATGGCGGATTTTGTCTCGTAGGCACTGTGCGGCTGTGAAATGTATGAGTACAAGTGCTTGTACACGCTCTAGGCACAAAGAGAAGGCGAAAAAGAAATGACCAATAATAACTTGATATGCCCTTATGCGGGCGTGTGTCTATACATATGTATGTATGTAATTGGAGATCAATGCTCAGCGCAGAATAGCGCGAAGCTTGCCCAATATATATGTATGTATGTATGTAAATAATTATAGAGATCAATGCTCAGCGCAGAATAGCTCGAAGCTTGCCCAATATATGTATCGTAAATTGAAATAAATAAAAAATAGGATTTATAAAATTCGGATTATTTTAAATCCATGGTTGACGAAATCTGTTTCTTGAACAACTGTAGGGTTTGTATTGGCACAGTGGAGCGTCGAGAAGTGGACTGTATTGAATTGTGCGAACAGAAAAGTGTGTATGGATACAGCATACAAAAAATATCGTGACAGCGGCAGACTGTTCGGCGATCAGGGTGAATTCCCGAAACAAGCGCACACCGGCTGGCCAATATTAATTATGCCTTTCTTTTTGAAACACAATTTCACTGTTCACGGAGAACTTTTTTTGCACGGAAATATTAGCACAAGTTTAGAATGCGTGTGTGTGTATGTGGCTGCACATAGGCCTCGACCGTTGGCAAGTGGATGAACAACGGGGAATCGAAGAGACGGCGAGGAGGATGGCGGCGCACACAAAACGGACACGGATGGAAAATTTCGAAGTTCGGAGGCGAATAGAAAAGTGGAATTTCTCACTACCGTGGTGTCAGGAAAACTCGGACGGGGAGTTGACACGAACGAAAAACAATAAATTTTGCAGCGGTGCGACCGAAATTAAATGTTCGGCCCACTGTCTAAGACCGGCAGCGAGAACAAGACGGAATCAAGCATATACTTATCTCAGCGGAAAAATCACCGGGAACTGCTGGTGAAGGGACGGAAGGATATCCTCATCCGGCTCGAAGGACCATGTTTGTAGGGGGGCGATCCTGCCGCTGAAGATCCTGTCTTGTCAAATGTAGCCCAATGGAAATTCCCACGTCGCAAGCGAAGGTGAAAAGTAAAAGACGGGGGCGTCGTGGGCAAATCAAATGGTCAGCTTTATTGCGCTGCATACCTAAGACTAACTCTAGCTTAAATGTAAGGGCCGCGCTCCCGACCGATAAGCTACGCTTGACAGTGCGAGAGCGGGCCCGAGAAGTGGAGCGCGAACAAGCCGTCCCTCAGCTCGCTTAGCAGCGAGCGAAGCACGGGAATTCGGGAGCGGGCGTTCGCGAACATCGAAGAGTGGGCGCGGGAGCGCTTAGACTAGCCCGATGAGCAGTGCTCGAAGAGCCGACTTGCGGGAGTGCAAGAGCGGCCAAGGCTTTGGAGGCTCGGTGGACAGAGGCGGCGCCGCGGCCGCCGCGAAGGGCCTTCTGACGTGAACAGAAACCAAAAGTCAAAGCAAAATGCTTCGGTTTAGGAGATTGGCATCGAAACAAAACATGCCATTTCGTATTCCTTTTTTTGATAAAAACAACATTATTTGCGTTTGCGCGTTTTTGACATCGATTTTTTGAAATATATTTTAGAAAATGAAAAATTCTCATAGTCTTGATCATCCTGACCAATTTTTATGTAATCATTTCAAAAATACTAGTTTTTAAGCAATTTTAAGTTTTTGGCCGCGGTGGACCTTTCTGGAGAATTGCCCATATACTTTATATGGTCAGAGGTGCCTCCTTCACTGCGTTGCAAACTTCTGACTGAAAATATAATACCCTGCAAGGGTATAAAAAGTATTTTAGGGTATACATGATTGTAAAGTCTACAAAAAGGATTTTGTTTTTAATTTCTGTGTGGTGAAACCTTTTATTAATGTTAGTTTTTCATAGTATTTGCAATATTTGGATTCACGAAAAATTGTGGACTAATTTATTAATTAATTAATTAAATTTAATTAATTTATTAAAATTAATTAATTCTGAAGCAATCGTAACCTTAAACAAACTACAACAAATATTTTATAAAAAGAGTATTTTAGAAATAAGTTTGCCTGCAATGTACATATGACTATAATTCGTGTTGTCAAGTACGAGTAATGAGTATAAAACTAAAAAAAATGTGTTTAGGCTTCCATTTTTTGTATGTACTGAAAATCATTTCTCTAATGTACTTGAAAATATATTTCAGATATTTCGCAAGGAAAGATATGATAAAATAAGAAACAGTATCTTAGGAGATATTTTATCTTCAATTGATCGCTTACCTTCATCGAAAAAAAATCTACGACCGTACAAACTTACAAATAATGGTGGAAATATTCAAATGGTTACAGCCCTTGTACTGCAATTAATTCAATGTGCTACTATATTACCAGACTCACTTTGTGATAATGGAAAGCTTATTAATAAAACTCAAATGATTAATTTGGCCGACAATCTTTCAAGCGGAGCTAAAAAAGTAGTAAAACCTAATACGGATATATTGGTTTTAAAAAAGTATGATGTCGCTGTCAGTATCGGAGGAAATTTTTTAACAACTTTTTTAAATAAATGCAAATCTCGGTCAAATGAAACTGATTTTCGACCTCTCTTTGAAAATTTCATTCATGATTTGCTTGCAACTGCCAACAAACCCGAATGGCCCGCATCTGAATTGCTACTTTCACTTCTCGGAACAATGCTAGTTCGCTATGTTTCTGATAAAAGTATAGAACAAAGTATTCGCTTGGTCTCTTTAGATTACCTTGGAATTGTGGCTGCACGATTACGTAAGGACACTGTTGAATCTCGATGTAAGGTTAACATAATAGATTCTATGATTAAATCAATACAAAAAGAACAGGAAAAGGAAGGCGATTTACCTGTATGTATTGTGAGTAACATTTTTTTTCTTGTTATGGAAAAACTAAACCTATAAACTTACTTTACAGTCTCAATCGGAGTTACATGGCGAGGATCAAAGAACAGAATTCCTGCAAAAAATGCTTCTCGATTTCTTAGCTGTAAATGCTGAGGAAGAAAATTTAATATGGGATTATGCTCGACACTTTTACTTGGCACAATGGTATCGGGATATTATTTACCAGAGGAGAAGGATAACAAATGATGATAAAGGACAGATTTTTAAAAAATCCAAATGTCAAAGTACTCGGAGAAGTGGTATGTATATAAATATTGATTATCAATGAACATTCCGGTTCAGTTCAGCTCAGTTATTTCCACTCTCTGATGCTTATCTCAAAATCTATCGAGATGAGGGAGCTTAGGATGGATTTGACCTTTATATAATTGCACATTTATGTCTAAGAAGGTAACCATCGCGTATTCTTTGTATTGATTTATCGACGTGACTCGCCACTTCATATGGTGCAGTCTCGGTTAATCGTTCTTTCCTGTATGCAAGCAACGAGTCCAATAGGTGATAATTATTTATCTTGTCTCTTATTGACGTGCCGGCAGGTTTTGTTTATTGGGCTTGTGTATTTTGGCAAGGATTTTTACTATCTTTTCCTAGTTCCACAATCTGAAAAGCTATGTTGCAACGACTCTACTGGCTAGGTCACTTCGGACACCTTCTCCTACCCTTGATAAATCTCCGTGCTAGAAAATACAAAGGTAAGAACTTTCTTATTGTTATCGTTACGATATAATAATAATATAATCTAATCAAAAAGTGACTCACCTCTTTCATTTGGTTCCGCGCTTTCCCAGAGCGTGTGCTTCTATGCGTATCATCCGAGCACCAGGGTCTTATTTGTGCCATCGGTCCGTTGCAGCAGCTGAACTACCGATTCTAGTGGAACCTTATGCCCGTGGGCCATATTTTCTGACGTAATAAACATTTCAGTCCCTTTTGCTGTCATAAATCTGGAAACTATTAAATCAATGTTCTCAGTATAAAATAAAAAACTGCTTATAGTTCTTTATTACTATAGTTGCTCTCGTCCTATCCGCCAAGCTCGTAAGAAGAGGGTATCCGGATACTTTCCGTCCTTAGTCCATTGTTCTTGAGTAGCGAAATATTGATATCGTTCTCTCTTAAAAGGAACGTTAAGTATACCAAAGCGTGCAATCTGCGCTTAAGATTAATTTGTACGACTGACGGCATCGATGTGGGTGGGGGTGGAGCGATTTGACGTCGATAAATATTTCCCCAAAAATCCCCTAATATCTCGTCCGCTTAGGCTCTTGCGGATTCTGCTTTCTCGCCTTACCCCTTTGGCAACTCTAGTGTGGCCTACACATTCCTCGAGGAAACTCCTTAAAAACCCGTGAACGCACCTGATTACAGAATGTCCTATGACCATATTCTTAATGTTGAAAAAGTGGAAAAAGAGGGAAAAAAATATACGATTGGCTGACAAAGGTTGTTGACGATGGAATGGGATGCATTTACTTTCTCGATGCTCTCGGTGGGATTGGGAGACATTAGTCATTTCACTGATTCTGTCAACTATTCGGCCAAGATCACGAATAGATGTTGGATCAAATGGCATTGCTGGCAATGGCAATCTTCTTTCTGTTGAAAATTCAACGTGCACAATAGCCAAAAATTCGGAGACAACAAAATTGATGCAAGAATGAAAAATGTATATTTGGGTTGAATGCACGATGGAGCATAAATGAGCTTTGAAAGCAGTAGACCGATCGATGAAGGATTTAAGAGGTGATTTAAGATTGTATCGTGGGACTTTGATATTGCTATCCGGAGATTTTCGTCAAAAACTTTCCGTTATCCCAAAATCTATAGCTGCAGATGAGGTTGTGGTGCGAACTTAAGAAATTGAAATTGAACGCAAACACGATAGACACTTTACAGACGCCTGGTTGAATTCTTAAGGCATCTGTGGGCACTTGGCAATGTCAATACTCCTGTTGATGCTTCAAATGGATATCGTTCCCGGAAACTTTTTGCGTATATACGTCATTAAAGGAGGAACTCATCAACAACGTTTTTGCCGGCATTTCCCAAAATTATAAAAATTTTGATTAGTTTAGTGAACGAACAAAACTAGCATCGAAGCATAAGGATGTCGATAGTTTGAATTCCATTATTCAAATTCAAATTGCTGGAGAACTGCATTTATACAAATCGGTCGACAGCGTGACCAATTCATGCTGTGGAATCTGAATAATGCCAAATTGTGCAATGTCCGTCAAGAAACTAATGAACAATGTAACTCGAGCAAGAATCACCAAGGGATCTCAAAAAATATATTTAATAGTATTGCTCTTAATTAATAAGATTTAAATAAATAACCTAGGCATTTGAATTATATGCGTTTTATTATCACCCTGGGACTATAAAAAACATCAATTTGGGCCGAGACCAAGTTCGCCAGCCCAGCTTGTTTCTGTATATGTAGCGCAAGGAACTAAGTAATTCCAACCAAGTTTTTTTTTTAATTTGACTGTTTTAATATTTGAATTTGAAAAGGGACAATATATATGTAAGGCATTAAATCCGGTTTATTAATTTTATTATGAGCCATGAAAGAATCAACGTACTGTAATGCCCAGACTTAATCCCTCGGTGACTTATTGGACTTTTAGACGATTGAACTCTAACTTGCCTACATCGATTTGCCACTTTTCTGTAACGCTTCTCCACCGGTTTTTTTTCGACGCCAAGTGCCTCTTTTCTCTAGAGATGTTCTAACACAATCGTGATCTTCCCAGTCGTACTTTTTAGCCAGATTCCTCCTGACTTTCGTTCAGTGGGTCGGACCCACCGTTTATTTAAAGTTCTCATTCGCTTTTATTCATGCGTGAGCGGCGTAATTCATGATGCCGCAGCGCTCAGTGATAAAAAATACATATATATGAAGCTTCTATTTTTGTACAAGCTGATTTTTTTCCATTGGTTACATTTAATTGTAGTAAATTATTTTTAACCATACTTACAAACTTTTTTAGAATATTATACGACTAACTGGAGATTGAACCTGCTTCATAATGTTTAACAGTCCGGTCGGTAAAACATCGCCCAACGCAGACAACTTAAATTGCGTCGGCGATGTACAAATATGTGCATATAGCGTGTAAGAGGGACCAAAACTGGCAAACCCTTTTAGGACATTTATTTTTTTGCTCGCTTGATATTTGATATTGCCGTCGCCTCCTTCCAAACAGGCTAGTTAATTCAATTAAATTATTTTTTTTTATTTATGTTTGTGTTAGGGATTAACCAACAAATTTCAAATAAATCAATAACTGTGGTTAAAAAGGATTATAAAATTATTATACATAAAAAGTACACAAATTCTTAAAAAATATTTTGAAGTTCATAGATAGATGCTCTAGTTATTTTCCGATTTTCATTTAGAGGAATTCTTGGTAGTTTAAAGAGCGAAACGTAATATAATTGCTGAGTTTTTCGTTTTATTATCGCCGCACTTCGTGTTAAAAAAATATCGCGAAATGGAAATACTTTCCTGAGCAATCAGCACTGAATTCTACATTCAACGGAGCTGCGTTCGATTCTGGTACTGAATGCTGCGTTTGCCACATTGCTGAACTGGCCATGCGTAAGGCCATCCCTGCTCGACATAGTTTTCTAACTTGAGTCGTTCACCGCATGAAGCAAAGTCCAACTGGGTCTTCTTACACGTTAACACGTTATTAACCATCGATAACTGCAACTCTGCTCTACATATACTTTTATACAGAGGTGGTCAAAAGTAGTTTCACAACGACTTTTTTCACAGTAAAATGTCTTTTATTTGTTATTCTTTTTGTTGTTGACCGATTTCCCCTATCGTGTAGAATCCATTATAAGCTGATGCAATATTACCATTTTTGTGAAATTAGTATTTCTGACGAAATACCCGAAAATGTGTATTCGTACACAACTACGCAGTTTCAATGCACCGACACGGCCATCCTGGCCCTAACACGACCTCGTGTAGAAAATAATAGCATTATTATTTCCTTTTCCTTTTTTTGTTTATTAGACTGAACATTAAAAAGTTTCATAACAATATCCAATTTTTCAATCTTAATTTACAACAAATTATCATATTAACAATTTCACAAAAGAGTATTGGTTTCCATAAACATAATTTTCATCACTTCAATTCAATTTATTCATTCTTCTTCATTATTCACTCTTATTGTCAGATAATCAAATGCCCCACATGCCATGATCAAAACAAACAATATCTTTTGCAGTTGTGCTTGCATACTATTTTATGGTCTCAGTTCTCTGCCATTTCCGTTGGCCAGCAGTACAACTTCGTCACCCTTCTTGGTGCATTTCACTTTCTTCTTCTATACTATCAATACTCTCAGTACTTGCATTTTCACTCTCTTCACCTTCTGCAACGGCTATATTACCTTCAACAATATTATCATAATTATCACACACATTTAGCTCTTCGGGCACTTGCCCCTCTGGTAATTTTCTTAAATCCTCATATGCATATTTATAATTTCTTTTATTAGTTAAGGACTTTAAAACGTATTTGTCATTGTCGACGATCGAATATTGTAATCGATAGGCGCAGTTAGTATATTTAGTATCGACGAGAAAAAAATTATGGATTTTGGGCCCAAGTTTGTACGGCATATTTTTATCGATAAGTTAACCGCCAAAATTGTAGTGCGAAAAGCTGGAGGACACACTGCGCTAAGCGCGTGTAAGAGTTTAATGAAATGTAAAATTAAGCTTAAGTTCATTTCCACAGAATAAAACATACGTAGTACTTCATATCTGACTGTCGGCCTCGGGCCAGGAGTTTTCCCTTTGTTTGGCGGGAATTAGAGATGTGGAGCCGTTAAACGCAAATCAAAGGGACGCACGACAACTCCTTTTATTCGCAGTCCGAGGGAGACTGCGAAGCAACGTGGAAGCGCGGGCGGCGCCCAACGTGTCGATTGAGGAGTCGCAGAGACAACTCCTTTTATTTGCAGTCCGAGAGAGACTGCAAGAGCAACTTGGGAGCGCAGGCAGCGCCCCAAGTGTCGGTTGCGAAATCGCAGTCAGCGACAAGGAGACGCGGGCAGCGTCAGTTGAGTCGCAGTCAGCGACGTCGAAGAGACGCGGGCAGCGTCAGTGGAGTCGCAGTCAGCAACAAGGAGACGCGGGCAGCGTCAGTTGAGGAGTCGCAGACAGCGACAAGGAGTCGCAGACAGCGACGTAATGGAGACGCAGACAGCGACAAGGAGACGCAGGCAGCGTCAGTTGAGTCGCAGTCAGCGACAAGGAGGCACAGGTACGCCATTTGAAGCGCTCACCGAGGAGGAGCGTCCGGCTGAATGGAGGGGAAGCCACCCCTATAACAACCGAGTGGAATGGAGGGCAGCCACCCCTATAACAACCGAGTGGAATGGAGGGGAAGCCACCCCTGTAACAACCGAGTGGATCAGCAGCGCCATTTGAAGTGCGCTAAGTCAGCGCCCTATTGGAATTGGGAAGATGCAGCGCTCACCCAGGAGGAACGCCCGGCCGACTGGAGGGGAAGCCACCCCTATAACAACCGAGTGGATCAACAACCAGTAGTGAAACAAAAACCGCTTGTAGACATAACCACGGCAGCGGCTATACCTAGCAAATCCACTACGGAGATTACATCAGCTCTACAACATGGAAGCACTATGTTTCAAAAGGACACGGAGCAGTTAGAGCCATAGAGCTGCACGTGTTCGTGGATGCAAGTCAATCTGCATTCGCGGCGGTGGTCTACTGGAGAGTCACATATGAGGACGACAACGTGCTGGTATGCGCAAAGACGAAGTGCGACCCGATGAGAACGATGTCGATCCCACGGCTGGAACTGCAGGCAGCAGTTCTTGGAACCAGACTAATAAACAGTGTCAAGGAGGAGCACAGTGTGGTCATCGATGACGCCTTGTTGTGGACAGACTCGAAGACGGAGCTGAGATGGATTAGCAGCACACACCGCTGGTTATGTGATCCTGCCTTGCCCGACGAGAGTGGCGCAAGGGTATCCAGGAGGAGGTCTACAGCGACGATTGAATATTGTAATCGATAGGCGCAGTTAGTATATTAAGTGTCGACGAGAAAATACTGATGGATTTTGGGCCCAAGTGTGTATGGGCATATTTTTATCGATAAGTTAACCGCCAAAATTGGGCATTCTTATTGTCGTGCGAAAAGTAGGAGGACACACTGCGAAAAGCGCGTGTGAGAGTTTAATGAAATGTAAAATTAAGGCTAAGTTCATCTTTTCGCAGAATAAAACATACGTAGTGCTTCGCATCTGCTTGTCGGCCTCGGGCCAGGGGTGTTCCCTTTGTTTGGCGGGAACTAGAGATGTGGAGCCGTTAAAGGCAAATCCAAGGGACGTACGACACTCACCTTCTAGAACTTTTACTATTTCAAAAGGCCCTTGAATTTCGGACCTAGCTTGGTTTGGTGTCTTTCATTTTACATTTACATGTTACATTTACCTTACTTCTATCAAATCGTTTTTTATCATAAACTACATTGGCTAATACATTCTTTGAAGCTTGCGCTCTTACGTTTGGCAAATCAATAACATTTTCTATGTCACTAGGTGGAAGTAATCCTTATGGGCGTGCTACCTTTTCCAATAATATTTCTAAAGGACTTGCTTTCGTAGTGCGGTTGGTTGTGCAATTGATTGCCAATTGCACCTCTCCCAACACATCCTGGCAAGACTGTGTTCCAGTTTCAACCGCCGTTAACATATTCTTCACCGTGCTCATGGTTCGCTTCACTTGACCATTAGCTCGACTTGCAGCAGTGGCTATCAAATGCAAGTTTATTTCTTGATCTGAAGAAAATTGACTGAACCTTGCGCCTGTAAAACGCCTTCCCTGGTCAGCTATTATTCGTTTTGGTTCTCCAAACAATGAAACAGCAGATTGAACGGCTTTTAGCAACTCTCACTGTCTAATTTAAAACTATGACTTAGATAGACGTATTTGGTAAACACGTCCACCTGAACAATAACATACTCCTTCTGGTCACTCTTGCCACTTAATTTTCCTGGTCACCACCATCGATGTTTTTTCACACAACTCCGAAAAAGAAAACCTTGGAGAAAATGAAGACACTTTAAAATATTGGAAGGAAAGACTTTAAAATTGTTATGCGGAAAATGCTAAGTAACCATTTTTTTTTATAGATGAGTACTGATTACTGCTCTTTAAAATTGGTAGCAGCCAAATACTTGTCTAAACAAGTCAGGCGAAGCGGAAAGAGTGTTCAGCAAAGCTGGACAAACCATTAGTGACCGCAGGACAAGGCTCTGTGAACAAGCTTTTATTTAACAATAAGAATTCACATTTCAATAATACTATTGATAGTCCTGATATCACAGATCTCGAATAAAATCTAGTCATATTGTTAAATTCAATTTTTTTAGAAACATCGATGTTTCACTCGATGTTTTTTTTTTAAACATTGAAAACATCGATTGACGCACACATCGATGTTTCTGTATCCCTATTATGTTCGTCTTCCATTAGAGCGAAGCTTGTGAAGTTTACTCCAGCGACGACGGCAGTACGCAGTAAACTGATCTGTCGTCCTCATCGCTTCTATCTCTTTTTCTTAGAAACACATTTGGCGACAGCGACACAACGCTGTCGCCCCGCTAAAACGGTTCTTCCCAAAACTACACTACACAGACACAGCACAATTATAAGCTGATGCAATATTACCATTCTTGTGAAATTAGTATTTCTAACGAAATACCCGAAATTGAGTATTCGTACACCTCTACGCAGTTTCAATGCACCGACATATATATATATACGATTGCCAATTTTTTTTCATAAGCCTCTGCGTTAGTTTCGATAACAAGAAAAGAGAACAAGCGAACAAGATTAAAGCAAATGTTTGAAAATGTTTTGTGTATGATTTGTGCATATACAGTGACGCTCAAACTGTTGGCACAGTTGTAAACTTGAACTTTAAGTGATATTTTCAGGCGTTTACATTATTTTATTGAACAAATTTTTTTTTTAATAACTATGTATTAAATAACCTTTTTTTATATTTTGTTTCATATATTTAAAACTATATCAACTTTTAAAGAAAATTACCATATTTCATGACACAGAAATCTTGGCACAGTTATTATTTTTCCTTGATTTATTTTAGACTTAAGGCCTTTATGTTCTTATTTTTTTAACAAATGTAAAAGGGGACTTTTTTTGAGCACATTGCGTCACAAAATTTCCAAAAATATTACATTTATCTACAGTTCTTTTGCCTTTTGCCTAAATTTTTTGAAAATGGAGAATAAGCGAAAAGAATCCAACGTAGCTCAAAGAAAAATTGTCCTTCATCTGCACAATGAAGGCAAATTGTATGGCGAACTTGCCAAAATTATGGAACTAAGCCGATTTTCCATTAGGAGCATCGTGCAACGCTACAACGGAGTCGAAAGTTGGAGAGCGCACCAAAATCTGGGCGTCCCAAGGCTTTAAGTCACCGGGAACGCAACGCGGTGATCCGCAAGGTCAAAGTGGACTCCAAAACATCGTCCTCCCAGACCGCCGCTGAAGTTAAAACCGAGTTTGGGAAGGATAATCATCCGAAGGCCGTAAAAAGTGCCCTGCCCGAAACCAACTTACATTGGCGTGCTGCTAGGCGAAAGCCGTTCATATCTAATATCAATAAAAACAAGAAAGGAAGCTATTTTCAGCACGCACAAGTTTATATACCCTTGCAGACAGAACTTCAATGACTAGGAATCAATACAATATAAATTAATGTTAAACAACAATGAAGTAATACCTGCTTCCATTTCATTCACCTATTTATATGATATTTACAGTTTTACATTCACAGATTTGGATTATTCCTCTATATCTGTATGATATAGTCGTCCGATTTTCATAAAATTTTACAAAAAATTTTAGAATATAAGATGCCTATACCTACAATTTTATCAAATTCTGTTGAAAACTGAAAATGTTATAATTTTTGTTGTAAAAATTTTCCGATCATTCCTATGGCAGCTGTATGATGATAGTCTTCCGATCCGGCCCGTTCCGACATATAGGTATACGAGTGAGAGTATATAGAAGACTAACTACAAAGTTTCATTCAGATAGTTTCAAAACTGAGAGACTAGTTTGCGTAGAAACGGACAGACGGACATGGCTAGATCGACTCGGCTGTTGATCCAGGTCAAGAATATATGTACTTTATATGGTCGGAGGTGCCTCCTTCACTGCGTTGCTAACTTCTGACTGAAATTATAATACCCTGCAAGGGTATAAAAAGCGTTTGGCCTACGCTAAAGGGTATCTGAGCAAGCCAATTGAATTTTGGGATCAGTTACTTTTTTCGGAGAAAACCGAAAACTGAGTTGGATAAAAGTAACTTGGCGCAAAAGTCAAACACGGTGGCTGAGGCGTGATGGTATGGGGATGCATGTCATCCGATGGTGTTGGTAACCTGGTGTTCATCGAGGGTATCAAGGATAAGGTATATAACTCAATATATAGAAGTGTGCCAAGACTTTTGTTTCACGAAATTTGTTGTTTTTGTTTAAATTTAAATAGTTTTTAGTACGTTAATGAAAAAACCGAGCAAATGGTGCTTTTAAGAAAATGTTTAATTTAACTATGTAAAAAAATTGACTTATTATAATATCTGAAATGCCTGGAAATGGCACTAAATGTTTAAGTTTACACCTGTGCCAATAGTTTAGTGCGTTACTGTATAGTGCTTCTAGATTAAAATACCTGATTTCTAATTTATTTTTTAAGGTGAATATTTGGATACATCAGATTCTGGATCATGTGATGAAACCGATACTGAAGGATTACAAAAAAATGACAATTTAACAAATAATGTTATGGATTTGGAATTAAAAGTCGAGATGTTTAATACATTGGATGCCAGAAAACAATATTTGATCAGCAAAATAAAGCCATATTCAATATCTGGCGAACAAAACCTAATATCCAATCAGCACATAAAGACATACATAGATTATAATAATGCACAGCTTATTGCGCAATATTTAGCTACCAAAAGGCCTTTCAGTCAATCATTTGATGGATGCTTAAAGAAGATTATATTAGTCGTTAAGTAAGTATTAAATATTATATTATCTGCATTATAGTTGTAATAATTTGCGCTTTCTATTTAATACAGTGAACCGTCCATAGCAGTAAGGACACGTGCAATGAAATGTCTTGCAAATATTGTAGAAGTTGATCCATTTGTGTTGAAACGAAAAGATATGCAAATGGGTGTAAACCAAAAATTCCTAGATACAGCTATTTCAGTTAGAGAAGCAGCTGTAGATTTGGTTGGAAAATTTGTACTAAGTAATCAAGAATTAATTGATCAATATTATGACATGTTGTCGACACGAATATTGGTGAGTTTCAATATAAATTATATCCTTTTAAATATATAATAAAATTGTATTGTTTTTTTTAGGATACTGGTGTTTCCGTACGAAAAAGAGTAATTAAAATTTTGAGAGATATCTGCATCGAGTATCCAGACTTCGGTAAAATTCCAGAAATTTGCGTTAAAATGATACGGCGTGTTAACGATGAAGAAGGCATTCAAAAACTTGTAACTGAAGTTTTTATGAAAATGTGGTTTACACCATGCATCAAAAATGACAAAGTAAGTATTAAAAACTGAATGATATTTTCTAGTAAACAACTTTAACATTAATCAAAGCACGAATTTTTAGAAGATAATTATATTTCAGTCAGATATACGCCCCGTAGTCCAGGAGACATTTTCAAGTCTTTAATGTATATGCATATATGTTTGATCAGTATAAAAAGCCAAAAGATCAAATGATGTCCCTTTCTTCAGCTTTACTCACTTTTTGAATAAAATGGTGAAGATATTTTCATTTCTTTTGCAGGTATACATATGGGCAATTCTCCAAAAAATTAAAAGCTCTTAAAGTTCTTAAAGTTCTTCTTGTCGTATTGATTAAGATTAAAAGAATTTTTCCATTTTCTAAAAAAATTTCGATTTATGTTATTTTTTATAAAAAGGTCATAAAAAGGCATGGCAAAAGCATTATGCTAGATAGACTAAAAATGAATTTAAAAAATAACTGCCTAATATTATATTTTAAAGTCAAACAAAATACATTATTAAGATAATTCGTTGCATATTTCATTAAAATGTACTGTTTCACTGAAATCGGAGCTTAAACTGATTTCTTGCAAATATAACTTCTGTTTTTGTTGCGTGCGAATGCAGTATATTTTAGTCAATGTTTTGGAAACGAAGTGCCCAAAATCAATCTTAGTACCAATTATAGTGCTAAGCAAGAGCTATACGTTTCAAATTTTGTAAAATTAAAATAAAGTCTTGGCACATGTTTTTTTAGTTTGAATGCGTACGAATGTCGCATTCGATATCAGAGACCATACATATATATATATTGAAAAGTTTAAAAATCTATGTTTCATTATTTACCTGGCAGTGGAACAATCGGTAAATGGATATAACTAAATGATAACATGATTTTTTAACTTTGTTCATAATTTAATGTTAATCTAACGATTTTTCTTTTATAGCCTTCATAGAACACATTTGGAAAATAAATAGAAAAGAATAAGGTTATGTAAGTTAAGGTTAAAGTGGTGAGGCTACCCAGTTAACCTTTTTTTTTATCCACACCCTAGGTCGTAATTGACTCCCCATCTTCAGTACCAGACCGTGTCATTTAGGTAGGCTAGGATTTCAGTCACTGACTGTTTCCCCACTTCCCCTAGTAACCTGAGCTGGTGAGCTCCGAAGTGACGAGCCCTGATTTGGTTAAGCACTGAGCAGTGACACAATAAATGCTCTGGTGTCTCCTGCTCCACCGGTTCCTTGCAACTTCTGCAGTGTGTGTTGTAGGGTAGGCCCATCTTGGAGGCGTACGTACCTATTGTCCAGTGGCCGTTATCCTTCTGATGTCTTTTTTACTCTTGTAGATCAGTTCCCCTGTCCGTCTCCCGTTGTAATTTGGCCAGCATAGCTTTGATCCTCTGTGCTCTGCGTTCATTGACCATTCCTTGCTGGCAAATAGTTTGAAATGGTCATGAATTTCCGTCTGGACTGAGTTCAGAGAGAATAGTGTGACTGTTGTTTTGGATCTTTCCTCTGACCCTTTCCTTGCCAGCTCGTCCGCTTTCTCGTTTCCTGGGATGTTGTTTGTCGGGGTACCCAGGCTATTTGTACCCTATTGTCCTATGCTAGTCTGATTAGTGTTTCTTTGCATTTGGCCACTAGTGTAGGTGTAGACCTTGCTGTTGCAAAAGATTTTTTGGTGGCTCGGCTATCTGAGTGGATCCTTACCTTGGAACTCCGTAGGTCTCGAATTAATGTTGTCATTGTCTTTGTTGAGTTCATCGTGGTATATGGGTTCCCGAATTGTAGTTCGGTTGTCATTTAATCAGTGTCCTTTGTCATCCGATAGTTCATTTCGTGAAGGATCGTACAGTGCCCTGTGTCGAAGCTCTTCCATCTCTGGCTTGCCTTCAGTCGTACCGCACTTTGGGTTGCTGTGTTCCTGATGATATGTTCTATTGAAATAATGTTTAGGATGACATTCAGTGCTGTTGCGGGGCGTAATCTAAGTGTACCCGTTGCACCGGGGCATTATTATCTTGGGGAGGATGCCCACGTTTTTTTTCGAACATCCACCTACGGGAGTAAAAAGCTATGCTAGCTTATTTGACTCTTTTTTTTGATGTTTTGTTTCCATAACAGCTTCGCATCGAGTATCACTCTTAGATACTTTGCTTGTTGCGATAGTCCTGACTCTATAACTTTTGTCTGAGGTTTTTTGAAATTGGCAATCCTTGTTCCTCTTGTGAGCAGCATAAGCTCCGTTTTACCTGGGTTGATGCCCAATCCACAGTATTTTGCCAATGCATTGAGTTTGGTGAGTCCCCTTCGCTGATGACGTCGGGGAAGGGTCCTGAAGGACTAAGTCGTCTGCGTTTGCTACCACTTTTAGACCTTCACTGTTAAGCGCTTTTAATATGTCATCCATGTTTATCAGCCATAGCAGCGGAGACAGAACTCCTCCCTGAGGTGTGCCTCTCTTCACAAATCTTGTGTGATGAACACCACTCAGTTCGTCTGTTATCCGTCTGCTCGTAAGCATTGCGCCTATCCAGGTTCTAATGCCATCGTCAACTCCTACCTTGTTGAGGGAGTTCAAGATGGAGTTTGCGTTTACGTTATGAAAGACCCCCCTCTATTTCTAAGAAGGTGGCCAGAGTGTAATTCTTGAAGAGCAGTGCCTTTTCTATGTATCGTATCACTTCATGTAGTGCGGTCTCTGTGGATCTGGCTATTCTTGTATGCATGTTGTGTGTCGAAAAGGCTTCTACTTCTGATGTGGATATCTAGTATTCGTTCCAATGTTTTCATGAGGAATGAGGTCAGGCTAATCGGCCTGTAATCCTTGGCTTGGATGTGCTCTTCCTGGCTTGGGTATGAAACCTTCTCTTGTTTGTGGTATTTGTGCTATTTTATACATGCTTTGAAAATTGTTGTAGCCACCTATCCATGTATGTTTTTGTTTTTTGTAGCATTGCTGGTATAATTCCGTCCGGACTTTTGTACTTGTCGAAGGAGTCGATCGCCCAATGGATCCTTTCCTATTTATCTATTCCACTCATATTTGTTGGTCTGTTCTATGCCTTTCCGCTGTTCCAGATTCTTCTATCTAGTTTCCTTGAAAGTGTTTGTCCTGTAGAGTTTCTAGTGACTCTTCAGCTGAAGTCGTCCCTGTTCCGTCAGGCCTGTTTATAAGAGTAGGGCTAGTTCGCCCTGTTGCTAGTATCTTGCTCAGCCTAGCCGTGTCTTTTATTCCTTCTAGCGATTCGCAGTATGTGCTCCAAGATAATTCGTTTTCTTTCTGTATCTCCATGTACGGTCGCCAATCCTTGGCCTCGTAGCTTGTATTAAAGGCCTTCCTAACCTTTTTCCTGAGTACTCTTAATTCTTTGTTCGACCATTGTGGGTATTTTTTCTTTGAGTACGTGAGTCTGCATAACTCCTTGTACGCGTTTTTTAGAATGTTACTGAAGTCCTCGACATCCTTGTCGATTCCTTCTGGGGTAGACCGAACCTTTGTTCTTCTGTTTCTCGCCTTAGACTGAAAAATTTTCCCGTATCGCTGTCCCATGTGTCGGTATCCAGATTTCGAAGAATATGTACCTATGGTCTGAAAATGAGTGATGTGTCGAGACCCTCCATATTCCTTCCTTGTAATTGCTGTGGTCTACTCTGAGAGTAATATCTAGGACCTCTTTCCAGCATTGATATTTTTCCGTACTTGGAAAAATGAAGGTGGGTGTGTCGCCCTTGTACAAATAGTAACGTCACAACATATAATATAACATATATAACATATAGTGCGAAAAAAGACATCCCTATCGTTTGTTTCCTTACTTCCCCTAGCGTTGTGGGCCATGTAGCCGGAAGCTATGAGTATGGCTGTCCCATTTTATGCTTCAAACCTGACCAATGCTAGATTTGAGTTGCAAAGGTTGGGATATAGAAGTGCGTTAAGGTTGTTTTTGGTAATTATACCCGCCCGCCGCCTACCTGTTGAGTTGGTGTATATAATTTTATATCCTTTTAGAGCCATCCCTAGACCATAGATCTTTTATTAGGACGATGTCGATGTCCTTCTCTCGGAGAAGGACTGCAGGATTTGTTGAAGCGTGCGAGCTACACTTCAGGTTTATCTGCATCACAGTCGGCATTATTGCGGGGTGGTGTTAGGGGTATCGTCATCGATAGCTAAGTCGTCCAACAGCTTGTTGGTGTCGTCGACTTCGTCTTCGAGAACATCGTCCGTCTTGGCTAGAAAATCCCTAATCTTCGCCTTTCTAATGCCATACCGAACCTTGTGGTCTTATTCTGACACTTGATCTAGGCATCGCTGGTTGATAAGGAGCAAGAATGGCTGGCCTGTCTTCATCTCCCGCTCCGCCTTGAGGATAGCCCAGTCCTCCATAAGGACCCCTGGATTCTGTGCCCGCAGAGTCTTGAGCACCCTTTCATGGTTTGATTGCCCCTTTGGCAACCAGCTGCGAGCCCGGTGTCTCCCTGGGATATCATTGGCAGGGACTAGCTTCATGCTAGTGCCTTTCCATGCGTTGCTAATTTTAGCAACGCGCTTTGCCAGAAAGTCCCTCAATGACTCGTCGTCGCAACTGATCACCCGGTGCCCTCTAATCATGTCTGAAGAGTCAAAAGTGTCGGACCAGATGGCTTTAATAGTAATTTGTCAGTTACAATCTCAGATAGTCTGGTCTCGACCTCCTCCCATTTCTCCATCAGCAGGCGCCCATCGTCATTGAGCTCGTCCACCACTGCTATGGCAAGACTTTCTCTAGCCATCTCAATGACGAAGGATGTGGCTCTCCGGGCCCCTTCTGGTTCTTCGCTCTCTTCGGGGCGCTCTCGCTTACTTCATGCGAGCTGTTGAGCTTCGGCTGCGTGGGCAAGAAAGCTTCTGAGTGCTTCTCCCCGTACCTCTCTAACTCCTCGACCGGGCTTGCTGGCCTGCGACTTCGAATGGCTACCCCTCTCACCTTGACGTGGCTCGTCTTGGCGGAGTTTATTATTTGTTGTGCAGCTTGGGGAGTGCT